TATAGTGGTAGTGTGCATGACGAGTTTAAGTTGAGTCATTCTCCTAATGCGTGGGGGCTGAATCATCATCCAAGCCATGCAGAAGTGCTAAAAAAAATATAATCTGATTAATTTGATGAAAATGCTCTATCTTCTTAATATCCATGGTGTCTGATTTATCATGAACGCCATAGAGAAGTGCTAAAGGAGACTATAATTTGATACTAGAGTTAGACTTGTTAGAGAACTTCTAATATTATTATTGTTGTTATTGTTATTAACATATTCTTTTCACTTTTATTTTATTTAGTATGATGATTTGAAATGAACTTAAATGAGGAAGTGTGGATTCATATATCCAACTCCAATTTATTTGGATTGAGGCATAGTTGTTATTGTAGTTTAATGAAAATGTGCTATATTATTAGAACTTGTTTGCACTAGTACCCACTCAGGTCAACTTTTGGCATCTCAAAGGAGCTGCTGAGTTGAGATAGTAGTAGGGAAGCTTCTTATTACCTGCCATTTAGCATAGACTACTCTTATGCCCTCCTACATGAATTATCTAGTTGGTTAAAGACTTGATCCTTATATCATGGTTGGTATCTCATTTATCGAGGCCTTTCCATTTGCTCTTTGAGTAATTTGCTACATATTTAGTTATTCTTCCCATCTTCTGTTTGTTTAACTTAAATTCAGTTGCGTAGTTTGTGCCGTCTGATACATGTCAATACATTATGAACAGGTTAAGTGTATTGTCATGTAGCCCCAGAGCCTGTGTTCAATGACAAATATAGTGCAACACGTAACAAGTCTGTTTATTTAAGGAGAGAAGAGTAGGAGAGAACCTTATCCACCAAGTTTCAGTACTAGAATAGTTAATCACTTTGTCATCCACAATAAATAAATTAATGGATGAATGTATTATCATGTTACTCGTATTCTTTAGTTGGAACTTGTCAAGACTTCCTGTGTGTCATCACACGTTCTTCAATTTATATTTTCCAGCTGCATCCGTTAGATTAATTCTCTTGATGTCTTCTGGCAACTATCTTTATGAGTGATGCTAAAGAAGAAAAGAGGTCATTATGGACCAGTTGTAAGTTGGAGTTGATTGTGTTGAATGCTAATTTGTTTATTTGAACATTCAGTTTGGGCGGATGCTGACACATGGTTTGAGAGGCAACAGCAAGAAGAGGAACTGAAGCGCCTTCAAGAAGAGCAGAAGGCTGCAATGCAGGTAGCAGAAGACTTGCATAGAAAAAAGATGGCTGAGGAAAGAGAAGGTGAAAAGGATGAAGACCCTATGGCAATGGCTGAAGCTGAGGTTTTGAAACAAAATGCTACTTCCTAATCATTTTGAGAGCCAGCCGATGAGCTTGAGGTACTCATCATGCTTGTATAGATGAGCAATTTGTTCCGTCCTTTTACTTGACCCGTATCTTATGTTGTTAAATGACAGTAACTGTTTTTACTCCACTAACTTCCAACTTCATGTTCTAGTTGTCAGATAACTATTTTTACTCTTCTATGGCTCAAGTTCACCTGTGTTTCAACCTACATAAGGTTTATATAGCTTTGCTGCTTTAGAAACCTATTGATAATCATGTATGTCCAGAGTCTTCCCTAGCAATGCATCGCACCTAGGGGTGGACGTACTGAATCTGAAATTTCTTGTACCTGAGTTTGATTTACTGTATCGGAACTAGGGGTGTTTAGTGGTCGATTCAGTCAGGTTTTTGGTTAATCGATTATTGACTTGTTATGGTAAATCGATAACCATGTCAATAATCTTATTCATTAGTATTATTAGTTTTGGATTTACCGGTGAGTGGTCTTTTAACGGTTTGGTTTCTATTGTTGCAAGTAAGAAGGGGATATATTAAATGTATTTCACCAAAATTCTTTTTCACTCGCGATCTTCAGCAAAATAGATGATGCTTAACAAGTCCGTTCAAGACATCCATCGCCAACCTCAACATTTGTAAAGATTGATTTACAAAATAGGAATTACATAACAAATGTCTATTTTACCCTTTATATTACTGTAACAATTCTGTGATAATCTCCAACCCTAAGATAAAATCACAACAATTATTAAGAAAAAAACCAATAATGAAAAAGAACAAAAACTAATATATCATATTGTTTATAATATATTTCCTGGTCTTTTCCTCTAGGATTCAAAAGACTTGTAAAGTAATTAATTGCCATGTGAGTGCATGTTAAGGCCAGACAGAAGATGCGCAATTAGCTGTGGGACAATGAACGTGGCTAATACTCCTCTAATATTTTTAACATTTAACTTTGACATAATATATAAATATGTTTTTAACTGGATCTGATATTTATAATAGATATATGCATTCAACGTGACATAATACACATAGAGCGTGTGTGTCTGCTTATTCACCTCTATACAAATTTAAGTATCTATTTGTACACACTTAAAATTAGAGGACATAAATATCAAATGAAATTAAGTTAAAAAGACACGTTTAATATTAAGGTTTTAACTTTCCATTCCAGCCTCTAATTTTATTCCCTAACACCAAAACTAAACACTCTGTACTATTGCATCAATCAACTGCAGAGTTTAAATGTATTAATATCATGTATAATTCAATTTAGAATTAAAAAAAAAAAAAATCTATCCACACTATGAATTATTTTGTTTAAAATCCATATAATCAAACTTGTCTGTAAGCTTTCAAATGCTTTCACACATTATTTCCATCTCACGTAAAGTAGACGTAAAATTAGTATTCCCTCCGTCTATTTTATGTGGTATTTTTTGAATTTCGAGATTCAAACAATCTATTTTTTATCGTAAGTTTTTCATAGATCTTTTAAACATTTTGAATTATCAATTATTGTGACTTATAGTATTTTTTACATAGTTTATAAATATATAAATTTCATTTTTAAAAAAATTGAAGATTTCATGTGCAAATTGACGATCAAACTTAAATTGTTTGACTCTAGAAAAAACAAAAAATGACATACAAATTTAGACAGAAGAAGCACATAAATTAAGTCATAATTTATACACATTTTATTTACCATGAACTAATTTACCTCATGTGCTATGAGAGACTCTTGTATTATATCCCTAATAAAAATGACTCTATATTTTATAAGTTCAAACTAGAAAAAATACTTATCATTCTACAACGATCCTTATCGATGGATAGCATTATTATTGTTTACTAGTACTACTAGTAGTTGTGATTTATCTAAAGCTAATTATATTACCTGTGAAGAAAGTCAATTTGAAATGTGAGAGTAACACATGTCACTTGTAAATTCAAATATATAAATGCATGACAGTAGTGTATTTACTGGCTACACTCTGTCTCTTTCGAATATACCATTAAAATCCCCTTTTTTCTTCCTATTCACAACTTTTTTTTTTTTTTTTTTTTACCGTGGTTTCCGGGCGTCGCTTTGCGAACCCGACTAGCTATACCCACCGGGTCCCGCTGTTTCAAGGCGGGTCCACCACGGTTAGTTCCACGGGGCCCTGGAGACGCGGCCGGTTTGTAATGCCTCCAGTGGCCCTGCTGGGGCTCGAACCGGCGACCTGAAGGACTTTGTCTCAGGCCTTTACCAGCTGAGCTACCCCTCAGGGTTCTATTCACAACTTACAAACTTTGTCCGTCTATATTTTAGTTGCCGTTCCACATGGAATTTGAAATTAGCTTTTGAATATGTAATTTCATATTATGAGAAAAAGAGTGTATTTGAATGTGTACATTTTTATTTGGATTGATTTTTAATCAAATCATGAATATATCGTATATTTCAAATGTGTTACCAATTCGCATTGACTAAGAATTCTTTGTTGAAAACCAACAATTTTAATAATCTATCTCCATCACGATGAAATTTCAAAAATTATTCGAACGTGTCGATCAAGACTATAAACTTGTTGAATACATTAATGTAACGCACATGGGGTCCAGAATATCTAAGGGCATCACAAACTTGTTATATATTGCCTCAAACTTCCGCAGCCTAAATGGTCATAGTCCCTCTAAGAAGCTGGCCGCGAATAGTGGCGGAGCCAAACTCCTTCGTCAAAAAATTAGATAAAAATAAATTTTTGATGTATATATATTATATATTGATACTTTTTATCTTCTACGCGATTTTACTTCTCTGTATTTTGATACTCCTTAGAAGAAGAGGTCCGTCAACGTTTGCAAGTCGTTGGCTGCTGGAAAAAACTTTAATAAAAAATGAAGAAAATTAAACCTTCTCCTACTTTTCTTTGGTGACTCATTTGTCATCTTTTGATTATTAATATAAAACAATAATTTCCAAACTTTATTTAGGAATATATATGAATTTGTATATTTCTTTTTTTTTAGTAAATAGGATTACGTATTGAATATTGAATTTTGGGTTTGGTAAATATTGAAAAATTCAAAAATGCAATACCTTATATTTATCCTTACTAAATAGTTCATATATCCAATATTAAGTTAAATACCCTACTAAATAGTGAAACAAAATTCAAGAAAGATTTTCAAATAAATGGAGTATTTATCATAATTCAAATAACACTCTTTTAGTCTCAGAATTTTTGTTAATTTCTCGAATGTTAATTTGATTAATTAATGAAATTATATAAAAAAAATTATTTACTTCATATCTAATTAGGATTTATAGTTATTTGTAAGGTTATTGAATTCCTGTGTAATTAGGACTTATAGTCAAAAAATTTGTAAAAATAGAGTTTCCTATTTCAAATTAAAGTAGGTTTTCTACCGTTATAAATAGGGTGTTTTCTGCCTATATTTTTTCATAATAACAAATTCTCTTGTCGGTAAAAAAAATTAATATAATTTTCTCTTATCAATTGACACGTTTCTAAGGTAATTGAAGTCAACAATACTATTACAAACTGTTTTTCGGTCCTTAAATATAAGTTTCGAGTTTTTTTATCTTAAATATACAAATTTAATTGGACTTTAATATAAATAACGAACATAAAATAGGTAAAAAAGATAAAGAAAAGAATAGTCTTTCTATAAATATATATCTCATCCCAATTTTCTTTCTCACTTCAAGAACTGTTTTTTTCCTCCTTCTTTCAGATCCATTGTTGCCATGGCAGGAGCTTCAGTGACACCAACGCCATTGCTGAAGGATGAGCTTGATATTGTGATACCCACAATCAGAAATCTTGATTTCTTGGAGATGTGGAGACCCTTTTTCCAGCCATATCATCTCATCATTGTTCAAGATGGTGACCCTTCAAAGACCATTAATGTCCCTGAAGGATTTGATTATGAGCTTTATAATCGTAATGATATTAACAGGATTCTTGGACCAAAGGCATCTTGTATCTCTTTTAAGGACTCTGCTTGTAGGTGCTTTGGGTATATGGTGTCTAAGAAGAAGTATATCTACACTATTGATGATGATTGCTTTGTGAGTATAAAGTCAATTTTGCATCTTTTTTTGTGGTTTATGAGGTTTTTGTGTTGTGGGGTTGGGAAAAATTGGATCTTGATGAGTTTTGGATGTGGGGTTACCTTTTACTTTGTGATTGCTTGGTTTTGCTTTGTGGATGTTGATAAAAATTGGATCTTGGTGTTTTATTGTCAACTTTTTGTGTTTTGAATTTGGTGCTGACTTGAGGTTTTGACTAGGGGTTTGAAAGAGTAAAAAAGTGTTGAATTATGTTAGCTGGTTTATGATTTGTTTTGGATCTGGTAAGTTTGTGTTTTTGTTTTATTTGGACTTCGGAGATCTGATTGAGGATCTTATGATCTGCAACTATATGGTGCTTGGAGATCCTTTGATAGCTTAAATGTCTTCTTTTGTTAAGTTGACATTGTTAGTTTATAGGACAATTTGTTTTATGATTTGCACCATCAAGACTTGTTTTTTTTGTTCTTGCATAGTTTTTAAAATAAAGGGACCTACTTGATCTTGATGTATGTGAGCTAGATCTTGCAGTGGCTTCATGTTTTCTTGGTTTATTGGCTTGTTTGTTTCATAATGTTTGAACTTTGAAGCTATGTGTAATGTAATTATGCTATATTACTGAATGATACACCTCCTTTTAGAATTGAGTGTTATTATGTGATGATCTTTGTTGATTGACTTTGTCCCATGCAATCATTGAACCCTTTTTAAAATAGTGCTTTCCTATCTAAGGGATGATGATTTACTAGTAAAAGGAAGTCTTCCATCTTAGGCCCATATATTTGGCTTGTGTCACACTTTTTTTACCAGTTTTTCCAATCACTGCTTACTCCATAGATGTGCCATCTGGTTTTTGGACCTTCTATCTAGAACAAGAACAGATTTTTGAGCTGCCTTCGTATGATTTTCCGACAATCCAACGAAGGGGTTCTATTGATCATGCATGAATCTCACTTCTTACTATGGTTCCAATGCCTTGATCTGATAGTTTATTTTGTCTATCATTCATTTAATCATATGTTGAACTCTTGTTGCTTGCTGATGTGCAGGTGGCCAAAGATCCATCTGGCAAAGACATCAATGCTCTTGAGCAGCACATAAAGAACCTGTTATGTCCTTCCACTCCACATTTCTTTAACACTCTGTATGATCCATACAGAGAAGGAGCAGATTTCGTTCGTGGATACCCTTTCAGTATGCGTGAGGGTGCTGCCACAGCTGTTTCTCATGGACTTTGGCTCAACATCCCCGACTATGATGCACCTACTCAACTTGTTAAGCCACGTGAGAGGAACACGAGGTATGAACTTTTCCCATAAATCAAATCTTTGAGCTTATTGAATTAGTTAACATTTCAACATCTGTACAATTTCCAGATATGTGGATGCTGTCATGACAATTCCTAAAGGCACTTTGTTCCCTATGTGTGGAATGAATTTGGCATTCGACCGTGAGCTGATTGGACCTGCAATGTACTTTGGCCTCATGGGTGATGGTCAGCCAATTGGTCGATACGACGATATGTGGGCTGGTTGGTGCATCAAGGTAAAAATATCCGTTCTTTCTGTCGTTGATGCATAGTAACTTCGAAAGTAAAACACATTTTCGTAGAATGAATGAATTCTAACATTGAGTCATCTGATTTATAGGTGATATGCGACCATTTGGGACTCGGTGTCAAGACTGGTTTACCCTACATATGGCACAGCAAAGCAAGCAACCCCTTTGTTAACCTTAAAAAGGAGTACAAAGGCATCTACTGGCAAGAAGAGATCATTCCATTTTTCCAGTCTGCAACTCTTCCAAAAGATTGCACAAGTGTTCAACAGTGCTATCTCGAGCTGTCGAAACAGGTCAAGGAGAAACTTTCCACTATAGACCCGTATTTCACCAAGCTAGCTGATGCCATGGTCACATGGATTGAAGCCTGGGATGAGCTCAATCCTACTGGGGAAGGTTTGGCTAAGCCTTCCATCTCGAACGGCCCGGGAAAATAGATTCCATTTAGCTTATGGTTCTTCCCTTTTTACAGTTTGAGTTGAGTTTGGAGACATTATTTATCTATTTACTTGTTTAATTTTTGTCTAGGATTTACTTTTATTGTAGACTACTATTTAATTTTCGAATTTAATTCCAAACTTTTGAGTTCAAATATTATATCTCCTTCATGTTCATCACTTTATTTGGTTTTTCTTCAAGTTGGAATGGTGGTCATACTTTTTGTGAATATTAGAATATGAATGTGTACTTTTTCTAGATTTGATTCATACTCCAATTTTTTTTTAAAATCACATAATATGACTAATTTATTTGAAATATACAATCAAATTTACAATAAAATAGTAATATAACAAATAGATAGTTATATAATGTCAGAGATCAAATCTTTAAAAATGAGTTATTACCTAATATTGCAAATATTTTCATTTTCGAAGTTGTGTTTGGTTATAATTTGTGTAAATAATATTTGATTGTTTGAAATTTGAAACGAACAAACATGAAATATAATTTAAATGGAATTGTTTTATAAAAATAAAAAATTTAAGAAAATTTGCAATAGCATTACAGATCATAAACTCTAGCCCATGGGCCTCTAATCATATCATAAATTGATACTCTAATAAGGACAAAACATAACATATGAGTCAATTGAGCCCATCTACATAATATATGGATCCACTAACACACTAGGGAAAATCACACAAATATGCTATACAAACATTAGAATTTTGTTAGAATCTAACTAATAAAGAGGTTAAAACAAATATTTGGTGATGACATCCAATTTTGTCTTAGTTTCTTGTCATAATTGGATTTTCCAAGTCTCTATATATGACTAGTCTTTTCTCTCATAGGAAAAAGTTTATAATTCTATCTATATAGAGGTTCATTACCTCTAACCTGACATCATTCACAACTCTAAGGGGTTTAAGAGTTTTGTTTAAGAGGAGAATTTGTTAGACACAAGTGTTACGTTAACACTTGCGTGAACCTCTTTCTATTTTGAGTGAATTTGTGAGGTTATTTCTCTCGATATTGTGTACTCTCTTTTATATAGTGGATTGTTGATCATCTCCTCTTCTGAATTAGGTCAATTGACTAAATCACGTTAGATGTCTGTGTCTCTTTTGATATATTTACTATTAATTTGATGAGCAATTATACGTAAAAGTCTCTCTTAACTAGGTATAAGTGAAGTCTTAAAGTCTTGAACAACTTAGAATGTTGCACTATCGACTTCATCAACGTCCATCGTTTTGTCAATTCGACCTGCTTGTTGACTCTGATTAGAATCATCAGAACATCACTAACTATTATTTTTATGAGGAGCACAATATCTATTTAACATAAGACTTCTATTCAATATTCAGTAGATTTGAGCAAATAAAAAATATCATATCATACATAATATTATAGTGCTTAAAATATATTATATAGTAATGTAGTAGCAAAGTGGAAGAGGAAGTAATTGAGTGTTATATGCAAAAGTGAGTAGTAACATGGGAAAAATAATGGAATTTATATGACATGATGATAATTTAGTTGTTGTGTCACCTTCTTGAAATACATTTTACCAAGTTGTAAGCAAGATCATTAAAGTGTGATTTTTCTTCTCTAAACTTTATTGAAAGCTCTCTTTGTCTGGTATTTTTGTACTCACTTGCAAATTAAAGATGTAGACAAAGAGAATAACAAAAAGTAAAATCAAAATTAATCACCTTATCTCCAAATGAAAGAATAAGTTGTATCATCAAAGCACGTGGTGCAGTGGATTGGATTGGAGATGCTTTTTCCTTAATTAGAGGTCTCGAGTTCAAGTTTCGAGTATACAAAAATCCTTGATAGGGTGCACTAAATTTTAATATTGAAACTCGAGGTTGACTGTGAAATTTCATATCAAATTTGGACATGTTTGAAGAAGGTTTGAACCAAATTTCATATTTCCCACTGTATTTTGTGTATATCTCCATATATAACACACCATATCTCCATTTTTTTTTTCTTGTGTATCATGTATAGATATCTATCCATGAAGAAATATGTGCGATATAAAAATGATATACACGGTATACAATAGATTATACACATATTGCAAAAATGAACGTGATATACACATATCACAAAGCAGTCCAAATCGCTTCTACTTTCTTTTATGCTCGATAAAAGTTGTATATATGTGCGTTTTATTGTCACTATAGTTAACTGCAAAAAGACATATATATATATATATATATATGTGTGTGTGTGTGTGTGTAAAATCCTAATCGATTTACTATAAAAATAAATATTTTCTACTTTCTTTTATGCTCGATAAAAGTTGTATATATGTGCGTTTTATTGTCACTATAGTTAACTGCAAAAAGACTTCGACTGTATTAAGATAAAAACAAAGTGGCCCATGCAAGTCTCGAACCTGCGACCTTCGCGCTCTAACCAACTGAGCTAATGGGCCAATTGTGCTGTGAACAGCTTTGATTTATATAACACAATAAACATTTCATTCTTCTAATTATTCACTAGTTTAGATATTTTTATTAATTTATTGGTGCTCCACTTTTTGTCACTCTCTTCTATCGGCTCCTTTACCACCTAGAGAGGTGTTTGGTTGCAAACAAGTTTTCTCATAAAATTAATTTTGGAATATGTTATTCTAATATATATATGAAATAACTTATTTCATCATTATGATAAAAATGGTGGAATAAATAATTCAAGAATTATTGAATACCTTCAATCAAACGAATAATAAACTAATGTACAATTATTATGAAATTATTATACCTTATATCGTAAACCAAACGATTCCTTATTGTATTATAGGCTCAATAAAAGTGTTAATTTCCCTTTATCTCACTATCCAAGAATGTTTTAAATTTGTACACAAAAACTAAAGATGACACTCGTTCCGTTTCTTTTTAGTTGTCATGTTTTCCTTTTTTGGAGTCAAATGATAAGAACTTTGACTAATATTTTACGATATATTTTTCATCATATGGATATGCAAAAAATTGTAGTTTATAGTACTTTTCATATAGTTTTTCATGAATATCCAATTTTTTAATTTAAAATATCGAATTAATATAATCTAATTTAACTTTAAAAATTAATCAATTGACTTTCAAAAAATGTAACATGATAACTAAAAAGAGACGGAGTAACAAATCTATATATGTTGCATCAAGTCCGACAGCTTCATGCAATTAATTAAAGTGCATTGCTATAATCAAGCATTGCATTTGTCTCCCATTAATTAAACATTATACAAAGTTGTTGTTGACTTAAAGCTCACTGAAAAAGATAGCTCATCTGCTATTTTGTTCCGTTCATATTTATTTATTTGTTCATATATTTAACTCGATGTAAATATAATAAATTAAAGGAAAAAAATTAAAATATGTCATTAAATTTTGAGAACAGACTTATCTATATCATCTGTTTAAAATTTAACTCATCTATGATATTACCATTTGAAAAAGGACTCATCCATGACATTATTTATTAACTAAATTAATCATCTAAATGTTGAGAAATAAATAATATACTAAATTACTAAAGGTAAAACAAATATAAAATGGTAAAAATAAATATGTTTAGTATAATAAACAAGTAAAAGTGAAAGAGCGACTATTTAATTTTGTGTCCCAAATTTTTTTGATTCATTAAAATTTTGAGAAGATGTTATACCTAAAGATGTAAAACGTTAGCTTTCAATTAATTTGACTTGTCTAAAGACATGACTCTATTTTAACAACTTTAGTACTTGACAAAAAAAATTTGAATTGGTTCTATTAGTCTATACTCTATTGTGTCCTTTGAACTAGTAGTTTTGAGTACAAGTCTAGACGTGTGGTTTATGTACCATACTAAACCGACAGGTCAGTTACATACCAACACATCCGATTCGTAGAAAAATTATATTATGTATATCAAAAACAATATTATATATATATAGGTTAAATTATTAGCAAAATTTTGACTACACTACTGAATAAAACATGTGGTTCAATCAACTCAAGATGGTTGGATATCGATTATGAATGCTAAGAATGTTTGGCAACATAACATGTTTGAAATTATTTTACTTATAATAAATATTTTTTAAGTTTAGAGTCGAAACTAAATACATCATTTATTTTGAAAAAGAAAAAATAGTTTTCATATTTTGTATGAAAGTACAAACGACATCTGCAAATATTTAAAAAGTTAATTAAAGCTTATGATGATGATGACTGTCTATATGTGATCTGTTATAAAGGGATTAGGTACTGTTGTTAAAGATTGCTGTCATTAATGATGGTTAAGAGATCCATGCTTATAGTACAAAAACGTGTCGATATTTTGTTTGTTTGATTTCCTACTTTGGGTTTTCACAGAGTGTGTTCTTTCCCTAACCTCTTTTTTTTTAACATTGGTAAGCAGTAATGACACTTTTTCACGAACTTAGTAAAATTAGGTTTTGGGCCTAACTTACACACTTAAGTTTTATAAGGAATTTATTTATCTTATTAATCATTAATATGAGATTTTTGTCATTGTTTAATATCCCACATCACGCTGTGTGCTGACTTAATATTGGTTGAGATGTGTCCTGTTCTGATACCATGTAAAAATAAATTTTGTGTCTAACTCAGACCCCAAAAGCTAAGTTAATTAAAGAAGGAGGATTGTTCAAGCCTAAGAAGTTCAACCATCTTATTAACTATCCAATTTTAATTATGGGGGCCTCACATTGGGTGAGATGGATCTTGTTGGTGATAAGAATGTGGTCATTATTGTGGTTATTGTGGTGTAACTCTTATAACCACTATTGTCATGATCTACCACTAATTCCACTCATTATTCTATACTTGATTATACCTTGTAACTTATGTAACATTTGAGCTATTCATTTACCCAATTTACTACCTCATAATCTTCCTATTCATTACAAGGAAAAATTCATCACCTATAAATAGTGTGGTTTTACTTTGTATTGGGAGAAGAGAAATAATGTAAGAAAAGAAAAGAAGTTTATATTGAGGTTAGTGTAGTGAAAGAAGGAGTTGAAACAAAGAAAAATATTCTAAGTCTTCAACTATATATAATCACTACATAAAAGAGAGTAATTATATGTTGAAGAAGGTATTTTGTTTGTGGAGCTTTGAATTCTTTAATTAAGCCGAAGTTGCTTGAG